TTCATTCCCACCAACAATGTATAAGGGTTCCATTTTTTCATGTCCTCACCAACACATGTCTTCTTTTAAAAAATAATTCTAAGGTAATAGGTGTGAAGTGATATCTCCTTGTGGATTTGACTTGCATTTCCCTGATGAGTGCTGCTGAATATCTCCCCTTATACATGTTGGCCATATGCAGAAATGTCTATTCAAGTCCTTTACCCATTTTCAAATTGGGTTGTTAGGTTTTTTTGTTTTTTGCTATTGAGTTGTAGGAGTTTCTTAAATATTTTAGTAATTAATCCCTTATCTGGTATGTGGCTTGCAAATATCTTCTTCCATTGCATAGGTTTCCTATCACTTCTTTGATTGTTTCTTTTGCTGTGCAGAAGCTTTGTAGTTTGGAAGTTGTCCCACTTGGTGATTTTGCCTTCATTACCTGTGCTTTGATACATTATCCATGAATTAATTGCCAAGACCAATGTCACAATGTCATGAAGTTTTCCTCCATGTTTTCTCCTAGGAGTTTTACAGTTTCAATTCTTCTGTTTAAGCCTTTAATGCATTTTTAGTTGAGCGCTGTGTATGGTATAAGCTATGGGTCCAAATTCATTCTTTTGCATATGGATACAAAGAGAGGATGGTGCAAGAGCTGTGAAGAACATGGGAGGAACATACTGGAAGCTCTCTGTCTCTTTATCCTTCCTATCTATGTGTGTGTTTCTGCCGTATGTGTATGTGTGCATGTGCATGCGTGTGCGTGTGTATGTGTGTGTGTGTGTTTGTCTGTGCTGGTCTTACTGTCTCTCTTTTATGTAAGTACATAGTTTCTTTAACAGTGTGTACTTTTCCCCTAACAACTGTACCCTGATGCTTTTAGAAATTCTCTGAACTATTTTTCCTTTTACTATGGTAATAAGCCTTCAGAAACATAATTGAATTCAGATATTAAATACTGTAAGCACTATCATTTAGCTTCTGATGAAAATGTGCATTATTGTATTTGAAATGACAAAAAAAAGAGTGAATCAAAACAACATTTTTTTTCTTCCTCCTGTGAAGTCTTTGTGTGGAATAACTCAATCTCTTGTAGGCTGCATTCTCTGTGATGTGGGAAATAGAACCAGGGCTATTATGCAGCGATAAGATGTGGTTTCCAATTCTGCAGCACAGTGGGAATCTGCTCCATTGTAGGTTTTATCACCTTCCGATTTGCCAAGTATTTCTAGCAGGGAGAGCACAGCACTAATCATGGTGGAAGATGGATACAGGAAAAGAACATGAACTTAGGGGTTAGCCATTCACTTGCTCATTCATTCAATCAAACAATACTTATTGATCACAGATGCTGGACACTCAACTAGGTGCTTGGGGATGCAATACCAGACAAGAGTGACAGGATCTGAATTCAATAGAGTTTGCTAGCACTGCTTTTGCTACGTGGTGGGGGCTTTCATTTTGGTCATTATTTAACTTCGTTGACCCTACTTTTTGATTTGTGCAGCTCTGTCAACCCTGTTAGGGTGATGCCAAACATAACTGGGGGCATAGCAAGAGTTTCTTGCTTAAGCAGTATGGGTCAAGGTGGTCACCACTTTCTATTTAAAGCATTTTGTTTTCAGATTATTACTTTTTTTGAGACAGGGTCTTGCTCTGCTGTACAGGCTGGAGTGCAGTGGTGCAATCATAGCCCACTGCAGCCTCAACCTCCTGGGCTCAAACAATCCTCCCATCTCAGCCCTCCCAAGTAGCTGGGACTACAGACATGTGCCACAACTTCCAGCTGATTTTTTTTTCCTTATGTAGAGATGGGATCTCATTGTGTTGCCCAGGCTGGTCTTAAACTCCTGGGCTCAAAACAATTATCTCACCTCAGCCTCCCAAAGTGCTGGAACTATAGGCACCAGTCACCGTGCCCGGCCAGCATTTTCTTTTCTCTTCCACTGAACCCCCAAATGAGGCTTTAAAAATGCTTCTCACTTTTGCTCTTGGTTGATGCATGAGCTCTGTGCTATACGGGCAGCCAACTGGACCTTGCAGATTCATGCTCCAAGGAGGTTAGAAAATTCTCCATTTTTTAGGTTTTTATGCATAGAAAATTGGTCATAAGATGCTATAAATTTTCCTAAAAGAAAGTAGGAGACATCAGAGGGAAAAGAGAAACATTTCTGAGGCAAACTATGGTATTTTCTTTCCCCTGATACTGTTCCCATCTGGTTCCTTTTTCATAGAATTTGGGCGTTCCTGTAGAGTTAGGAGAGGCTCAGAATTAGGAAAAGTTTTGAAAGCTCTGCAGAATCATTCTCGTGACCTGTGTCAGTCTCGGTCAAAAATATATATGCCGAAACAGACAAGAGGAGTTTCATTAACTGTCCCACTTGTAATTCTTTCATGAAATGAAAATGCTAAAATATTGTACATTAATCTCAGGTAGCTTGGACTTTTCCTCCATTTCAGCCTCTGGGCCACTCATGGTCTAATGCTTTGAGACGGGATGCTGGATGCTGCCTGATATTCATTCTTGCCTTCGTTCTTCTTTCTTAGTCACAGAATTCTGATTTTCAGCTAGATACATGACTTCCCAACCAGAAGTTTACTCTTTTTTTTAACCTCTCTCAAAGCTAGATGTGATGTGTAACGAAATTCTGGCCAAAGAGCTATAGGTAGAAGTGTCACAGGAGTCTTCTGGAGAGTCTCTTTGAAAAAGAAGAGTATGTTCTTTCTCCTTCTTATTGGCTGGAACCTGGTTGTGATGGCCGGAGCTAGGTCAGCTGTCTGGTACCATGAAGTCAACATGCTGAGGATAGTGGAGAAAGAAGATTAAAAGCCTAGGTCTCTGAAACCATAGAGCTACTCTACCGGTCTTGACTTACCTACACTGGGCTATTTTTATATGAAACAGAAATAAACTTATTTTCCTTCCTTCCTTCCTTCCTTCTTTCTTTTCTTCCTTCCTTCTTTCCTTCCTTCTCTTTTGTTATAGACAGCTGAGCCCTTCAATACACTTTTATTTTAAACAAGAAGAAACAACCCAGAGAGGGTATATGACTTACCTTGGATTCCAGTGGCAGGACTGTGATTAGAATACAGCTTTCCTGACTTGATGTACAAATCTCTTCCAATAATCTCAAACTGCCTCTTGTTAATTTTGAGTCAGGTGTAAAAACAGGAAATACTGGACAAGTCAGATATATATCATTAAAATTGTTAGAGGATCACCAGTGAATGAGATGAAGGAACACCAAAGGCGTGCTTCCAGTATATCATGGATATTCTGGAACATGTGGATGTCCAAAAATGCATAGATTTCTTTCTCCTTTTTTTTTTTTTTTTAAGAATGAAGTAAGACAAATTGAGAGGTTAGTCCATCAGCCAATACTGATTTCGTCGAAAATGGTTGGCGTGGAACAATTACACCTACTGACTAGTTGATATAACAAGTTGTGCGTTGAAATGAAGTGGAATAACTTGGTCTTGGTGGAGTCCCGGGGGGTGCATGTGTTTGTAAGTTGAGTTGAGTTCTTAATGGTACTTTTAGAGAAAATTCCTTTAGAAGCTTTGTTTAGAGAAAGCAGTGGCATAATAGCCCTCTTGGATATGTACACATAATTAAGTGGCTTTTACTGCTGAATCGGGCTTCTTTTCATGCTGTGGTTACATCTTATTCTTGTTTAAAGGTTTTGTTTTTAAAGTATGAAATGGTTTATATGTGGAATCTAAAAAAGTGATTCCACAGACACAGAGCGGAGAAAGGTGTTATCAGAGGCTGAGTGGAGACGAGGAGGAATTGGGAAAAGGAAGATACTTCTCAAGGGGCACAAAGTTTCAGTTAGAAGGGATGTTTTAGAAAACTATCGTACTGCATAGTGACCATAGTTAATAATGATGTATTGTACAATTCAAAGTTGCTAATAGATTTTTAAAATTCTGACCACCAAAAAATGATAAGGTGGTGAGGTGACAGGTATGTTATTTAGCTTGATTGAATCTTTCTGCAGCGTACACACAGATCAAGACATCACACTGTAGTTCATAAATATACACACTTATTATTTGTCAATTAAAAGTGAACTAATTTTAAAAATCATGAAACAGCTTGTAAAATGGGAACAGTGTGATGTGGTAAAGATCAATACATTAAAATATTCAACTTAGTGTTTATTGGTGTAATGTGAAACAAGAAAATTTATTGTCTTCTGATAGCTAGTGCTGTTTTTTGTTTGTTTGTTTTTTGGCAGAGTCACTCTCTGTCGCTAGACTGGCGTTCAGTGGCGCGATCTCAGCTCACTGCAATCTCCACCTCCCGTGTTCGAACAATTCCCCTGCCTCAGCCTCCCGAGTAGCTGGGACTACGGGCTCCTGCCACCATATCCGGCTAATTTTTTGTATTTTTAGTAGAGACGGGGTTTCACCCTGTTGGCCAGGATGGTCTTGATCTCCTGACCTCGTGATCTGCCTGCCTCGGCCTCCCAAGGTGCTGGGATTACAGACGTGTGCCACTGCGCCCGGCCAGCTGGTGCTTTTTCAGGGCCAGGGCACTGTTTGAGCACTGTTTGCCTTCTGAGGAGGCAGGAGTCTGACTGACTTGGAATGTGGACTGGAATACCACAATCTGAGTCTTTAAAAATCCATGAAATGTTTAAAGTGGTAAAAGTAAATGGAAACCCATTCTGTGAAGATGTCACCTCTTTCAGAAAGCCTGCCTTGATATTCAAGTCTTGTTTATCGGATCCTCCCACTGGCTCTCAAGCACCCTGGGGTTTAACTGTTAGAGCACATATTGCATTGTGTTACTGGAGCTTGTTATATGTGCACCGATAACAATACTTATCCAGCCCTTAGCATCATCTATTCAACCTTCATCAGGACCATCTTAGGTAATATTTGTATTGTTACTACTGTTTTTTATTATCATCATTTTGCAGAAGTTTGGAGTCTTTCAATGACTTGTTCAGGGTCAAACAGTGAGTAAATTTAAAAAGCAGAATTTAAATTTAGTTTTTTTTTTTTCTACCCAGCTAATAACAATGAACGATTATGGAAATAAGAGAAAATTCAGAGGACTGAAGATTGGCACACGGTAGACAATTTAGCAACGTGTCAAATGCTTCAAAGATGTGCATAACCTGTGAGTTATCCTTTTTATTTCTAGGAATCTATTCTACGGATGCCATTGAAAATGCCATATTAGTTTTGAAGGTTGAAAAGAAAGCAAGGGGCCGGGAGTGGTGGCTCATGCCTGTAATCCCAGCACTTTGGGAGGCCGAGGCAGGTGGGTTACCTGAGGTCAGGGGTTCGAGACCAGCCTGGCCAACATGGTGAAACCCTGTCTCCACTAAAACTACAAAAATTAGCTGGGCATGGTGGTGGACGCCTGTAGTCCCAGCTACTCGGGAGGCTGAGGCAGGAGACTCGCTTGAACCAGGGAGGCGAAGAGTGCAGTGAGCTGAGATCATGCCACTGTACTCCAGCCTGAGTGACAGAGCAAGACTCTGCCTCAAAAAAAAAAAAGAAAAGAAAAGAAACCAAGGGTGATATTTTATCTCCCCCAAAAGAAGTCTATTTGATGTCTAAAAAGCATAGGGTGTCTATTGTGCATTTGTTATAGTTGTTTTTAGTTCTAAAGAAAAGCTAATTTTACACTCTTCATTTCTAGAAGAAACAAAGTAATTTAAGGCTAAGCATGCCACTGAGTTCTGAGGTTTTCCTGCTGCAGAGGTTTTCTAAAAGTCTTAATTCCTGTAATGCAGTTTGGATATTAACTTTTGGCTGTTTTGCCCCCAAACCAACATGAACGTAGGAGGCTAACGGTACACTGACGTCCTCTTCCAGATTTCCAATACCCCCAAGACCTCGGGCAACAGCTTTTGGCCTTGCAGGGAGGTCTCAAACTACAACTGCAGTTTCTGACAAGTATTTCCTTCTCTCTCCACATTTTGCCTCCCCTCCAAGCCCAGTAATGAGGAATCCAGTATAGAATAATTAGACTTTCTGCGATTGAGGTGCCTGCCAATTATGCTGATGGAACTGAAGTCTTATTAGACTAATAAGGTTTTCTAAATTGGACTTGGGGTTCTTGGTGATGTGAGGATTCCTGAGAGAAGTTGCTCAAGTATTGAAAATGAGTTTACCTAAGGATAAATGTTCACCTTGGATGAACTGGAGTGAGAAGTGGGTTCATACTCGAATTCTGTCACTCATCCGCTATGGGACCTCGGGCAAGCATTTCAATTTGCAGGTGGGGAATCAGTCTCCCGCCCTATCAGTAAAATGGCAAAATTAATTCCCACACACCTGAAAAGATTATAAGGATAATGAGCTAAAAAACACAGCACAACATGGGATATTTTATATGAATTATCTTATCAAGCTTAACTTTAAGCCTGGTTACTTAATCATTCTACATAGTAAACAATAAAATAGAGGTAATCATATTATTATTGTTACAAATGTAGCATAATCTTGAAGAGTTCTGCAGACAGGGAAACCTGCATTTGAATCTCATCCACAACACTGACAAATACTGTTTCGCCACTCTCAACCTTGGTTTATCTCTCTCCTTAAATAAAGAATAAAAATAGTAACAAAAGTCGTTAGGCCATTTGACATTGTTACGAGGTTAAATCAATGAATACATGAAAAGTACCTTTACCACGCTGCCTGACTTAGGAAAGGAATTTCCTATGACTGACTGAACGGAAGTGTGATTGAGATAATTATTTTCAGTGGAACTTGAAATGTATTGCTGGTACAAGTTTTCCAATTCAAGGTTGTCCAAATGTACAAAACATATTTACATCAGGATTGTGGTGCTATTCGTGTTACGTGTAATTCTATGCATTAAGATTATTTTGGAAATAATTAGATCAAATCAACTAAAGAAAAAGTACTTTTTCATATAATGGTTAGTTAAGTCTGGAGTTTATGTTGGATTCAGAATCTTGAACCTCATTAGCAACAGTGTGTGTTTTTGTTCATCTCTTGCGTCTCTCCATCTTTAATCACCTATCTCCATGTGGATCTTAGCCCTCCACGTGGGAAGTATGGTTCGCTCTTCCAATGCTCAGATATTAATCATGGGGAAAGCTCTGAGACACTTTGCTTAGGTCTAATTTTAAAAAGTGCTATTGGGTCCACTGGAGTTGCTATCCCCATTTAAGCTGCTGAAAGCCTTTAGAGGCATCCTGGCCAGATTTCTCAAAGTCCTTACATAGCTTCTGACCCCTAACCTCTGTCTGTGCTAATCTTAGCAGCAACAGGGTCCCCTACTCTAATGACATCCAAACTCCTATTTTAGAAATGTCTCTAATTCCATATTTCCTGACAATAAGAGTTAAGCAGAGAAGGGCATGGAACTCTGGTAGCTAGTGAGGAATTTTTCCTTTCCTAGAAAGGACAGAGCAATGTTAGCATGACCTAGAGAACATCCACTTAGTCTGCAAACACACCTTAACCATGCTCTTAGAAGGCTCTTTAACCCCAGGGTTTGAGATATGAAGATGTAACATTGGGTTGTTTGGAGCTCCCATGTTTAGAGGGACAAACATTTCACAAATGACCAAAGTTAATATTGAGAAGTTTTCTAATAGTAATAATAACACTGAATGAACAGGCCAATAAACCAGCCAGAGTTGGGTTTGCAGTGTCTAATAGGTCTCCTGGAGAAGGCACTCCCTCATTTGGATTCTACAGGATGGGCAGAAGTCATTTTGTCCTGAAATGGAGAGCAGAACCATTCCATATGATTGGTTGCCCTCCAACCTGCTGTCTTTGGGAAAAGCAGCCTGAAGAGCTGCGTCACAGGTGGTCTACACATCCCCTGGCACAAGATAACATCATGCTTTACCGAGGTGGACCCATCTGGGTAAGACAAGAAGAAATATTTTAAAAAAGAAAAAAGAAAACAAATGAAAGAGAAGAAAAAGAAGCAAAAAAAAAAAAATGTGTTTACCCAGTTCCTGTATCCCAATGAGAAGAGATTGAACTGCCAATAATTGAGCAAGGCTCTCTGATGATATAGATTAAACCAGAAGGGCTAACAGTAAACAAGAAGAACTTCAAACGAGCAGCGTTCTGGCTCTCTGGGGACCTCCATTAACGAGTCACCAGATAGGCAATTACTGTACAGTTCTTGCAATGACCGGGATCAAACACAAGCATTCTGCACAGTAGGCAGTCAGAAAGCAGGCAGACAAAAAACTGTGAGAATATGCCATTAAATCTTAATTATTCTTCAAAGGGAACAAGCACAACCAGGGGGCAGAGAAGGAAGGAATATTCGGAATCTCACCAATGCCTGGGGCTCGGGGCAGTAGCACAGCTACTGTTTCAACGCTTGTATTTACTTAAAACTGAACCTCTTCTTCTGACTTCTGCATTGGGCTGGGGAATTCAGTTTACATAAGCAGCCCAGTTTCTCTGACCCTCTGTATCTTCTTCTGGAGTATATGAAGGCTGTGGTACCCAGGCGAAATTTTGCACACAAGGTTTGAATTCGAATGATTGATATTTCTATGATGCCAAGAAATAGCACACCCTCCAGTGCTGACCACAGATGACACTTGAAATCAGACTAGTCTTTTAGCATCTTTGGAATGAATATTCTCTGTTCTGTAATTCACAGGCATCAAGTGTCATACTAGTCATGTGTCATTTCCCTGAGGCATGCAACTGAGAGGTCCTTGATTAGTGCATGGAAGCCCCTGCATCCTAAACTTAACACGTGATCCTGGTTAAATGGAAGGCTTAAAGAACTTGAAAGGTATTAATTTTGAATCCTGATTTTTAATACTGTATGTATCACTCTGGTGTATGTGTGTGTGTTTGTGTGTGTGTGTGTAAGAGAAATTGAGATTTTACAGAATATATGAATTTAGCTCCCATTTTTATCACTTAGCATTATGGTTTTAAATATTCTGTATCCGTAGTAGAAGCTAACCCAGCACTCACAGTGGAACATACAATGTGAAACGTGTGTAATTTTAAGTTCGCCAGTAGCCACATTAAAAAAAAAAGAAATAGCTAAAATTAATCCCAGTAATATATTTTATGGAACCCAATATATTCACAATATTATTCTAATATAAAAATTATTAATGAGATATTTTACATTCTATTTTTTTTGGCACTGCCTGAAATCCAATCTGCATTTTACAATTCCTGCTTATCCCAGCTTGAACTAGCCACATTTCAAGTTCACTTGGAGCTGCTGGGTTTCATATTGGACAGCACAGGAGTAGACTGTCACCCCAGTTCCATTCTGGATCATTTCCACCTGTAAGTTGTCATCTAAGAAAGACATGGTATGCTGTACAGAAAGTTCTATGTGGCTGCTGCCAGCCTAGTAAAATAGATTCGACATCGTATAACCTAAGAGCTGCAAAACCAAAAATGAAGAGGCTTGTGATGGGGTCAACGTTGAAAAGTTCACACCACGATAGCTGTGTTCGAGGTCACAATGAGGACTGCACCAGTGAGATCCTCTTCACTGGTAAATTTGAACTTGGGACAAAGGGAGACCACCTAAGTCTCTTTCCTTCACTCTCCATTCAGCCATTGGGAGCACTCTGTAGGATAAAGGGAGGAGGGCAAATCGGAGTTCCCAGGACATGTTTGTGCATACAAATCACGACAATGCTTTTGAAAATGCACATTCCCAGGCCTTACCACAAGACATTCTGAATGAGTTTGGAGGTATCTGTCCAACAAGTCACGTTTTCAATTTAAAAGAATTCATTATAGAAGCAGCCTGTTGGGCTTGGAGAGGAAACACAAAACCCCATTACCCTATTCTGTAAATCCCACCACGTATTGCTGTGATGGTTAATATTGAGCGTCAACTTGATTGGATTGAAGGATGCAAAGTGTTGTTCCTGGGTGTATCTGTGAGGATGTTGCCAAAGGAGATTAACGTTGGAGTCAGTGGGCTGGGAGAGCCAGTCTCACCTTGAATCTGGCACCATTTAATCAGCTGCCAGCAAGGCTAGGATAAAAGCAGATAAAGGAACGGGAAAGGATTAGACTGGGCTGAGCCTTCCAGCCTTCATTTCTCTCTTGTGCTGGATGCCTCCTGCCGTCAAACATTGGACTCCAAGTTCTTCAGCTTTTGGACTCTTGGGGTTGCACCAGTGGTTTGCCAGGAGCTGTCAGGCCTTTGGCCACAGAGTGAAGGCTGCACTGTCGGCTTCTCTACTTTTGAGGTTTTGGGTCTTGGACTGCCTTCCTTGCTCCTCAGCTTGCAGACAGCCTATGTGGGACTTTACCTGGTGATTGTGTGAGTCAGTACTCCTTAATATACTCCCTTTCAGATATACATCTATCCTGTTTATCCTGTTCCTCTAGAGAACCCTGACTAACACAATGACGTTTGCCTCACAATCTTTCATGTTTGGGGGTAAAGAGGTGAGAAACTGGAAAACGAGAGTGACTTCTTAACCGTGCTCTGATTGGAGTGTTCTATTCCACGCCCCCTCCCCCCCACCACACACACACACACAAAATTGTTCCACCTTCCCTGCACTGTGTGGCCTTACTTATAATGTGGAAAATATGTAGACATGTTGGATTGTCCAGATTTTACCCCAAGTGTTTCCTTCCCATGTTCCTTACTTGTTCTCAGCCCAATTTACTATCCTTAGGTACTTGTAAAATCAAGAAACAAAATCCCTGCTCCAAAGACATATGCAGAAGATAAAACAGACCTTTCAGGAGAAGATGATGGCCTATGACAGGGGTTCCATAGCAAATGGTACATACAGGAGCCACTGAAGATGACATGTGGAAGTTGTCCGTTCTCACACTACAATGAAGAAATACCTGGGACTGGGTAATTTATAAAGGAAAGAGGTTTAATTGACTCACAGTTCCGCACGGTTGGGGAAGCCTCAGGAAACTTACAATCTTGGCAGAAGGCAAAGGAGAAGCAGACACCTTCTTCACAGGGCAGCAGGACAGAGTGAGTGCAAGCAGGGGAAATGCCAGACGTTTGTAAACCCATCAGATCATGTGAGACTCCCTCACTATCACAAGAATAGCATGGGGGAAACCATACCCATGATCCACTTACCTCCACCTGGTCCCAAGTGGGGCTTACAGGAATTACAATTCTAGGTGAGTTTGGGTGGAGACATAGAGCCAAACCATGTCGGAAGTGTTGTTTACATCTCCTTAGCTCTTCAAAAGCTAATTGCTCCAATTTCAACCTGACTGTAAATGTGAAATCTTCATTCTTCCACCTATTTGCATCACCTTTGATTGATTCCTCAACCTAACCAAAGAGTTCTCTAGTAAGAAAATTAAATACTCAAACCTTGCTGCTCTTATTGTTGTAATCAATACTAGAGCCTTGACTTTCATAACACATCCTCACTTAGAAATGGGTCATAATCTCATGACTTTGTATATGTGACTGTGTTTTGTGTGGACTTGAACCACAATGAAGCTTGATGTTCATAGTATTCATTTTTTAGAGGATACTTTACTAATCAGAAAATATTTGCCCTTACATTTTCTCTTCTGGCCCTTGAAACATTCCTTGTGTGGCTGAAGAAAGTCAATAGTGGAATCATTTAATAGATAAGAGCATTGAAGCTCAGGTATGTTAAATGCAAAATCACAGCATGGTGGGATGGCACAGCCAAGGAGAGGCTGCTGGTCTGAGACCTCATATTTTGGTCCTCTTTCTACTTTACCTCTCACTGCCACTTTCTCAAAGAATATCAGATGCTCGCATATATCTGGCATGTGTGTTCTTTTACACATTTCTAAGCTTCATCTAAAATGATGCTTCTGTGCAGAAATTCAGCCCTGACCACAGGGCTCCTGGAAATGCCTATCATGAGCAACAGTGAGAACTGCCCCCGCGGTATTTGTGTTTCAAATCTATCTACAGAAAAGATTGAGAACCAGAAGCCCTTTTCCTTTTTTGAATGCTAGCTGACTCACTGTTCAAGAAAGGAGAACACTTTCAATTATGCTGTTTGACTGCAGTGACAGGGATCCAAAGGAAATGGCTCCGTCCCTTCCCTTTCATCCCAACCTCAGTGACATCAAACTCTGATATGACTGAGGGTTGGCTTGTGAAGGAGTCATTAGGAAATTCTGCCTAAGCCATGGTCCGATGAGGAGGATGTATCCTACGGTGGTGATTTTCCTGTGTCCCCCCACCTAGAGGAAAGTTGTCAGATGAGCAGGAGGAGTATATTCTATAATGAACAGCAAGCTAATAGGTTACACAGATAACTCGCTGACTTTGCCTTACAGAACCTGTGCTATAGACCTTAGGGCAAGGTTCATGCTCAGGGGGCCAACTCTATGGGTTAGGATTTGAGTTTAAGCAGCTTATTCTCATATTTCATGGCAAGCCCAAAGTCCTCTGCTCTCCAGTGAGTAAGTCAGTCTATGCTGGTTCCATAGTTAGTTAAATAAACAAAACTCAGGTGTCTGAAGCCTAGGTCCGAGCTGAGGACATGCTGGTTGCATTATCTCAGGGAAGCAAGACTGAAGCATCCATATGAAATGCATCTCATGACCATCTTCGACTTTTCCACTTGGCAAATATGAGTACTTGAAACCTGAAAGGGACTGTGACTTTCTAAAATCATACAGGGAGGGGCCAGGCACAGTGGCTCACATCTATAATCTCAGCATTTTGGGAGGCCGAGGCGAGTGGATCACCTGAGGTCAGAAGTTCAAGACCTCCCCGACCAACGTGATGAAACCCTGTCTCTATTAAAAATACAAAAATTAGCCGGGCATGGTGGCACACACCTGTAATCCCAGCTACTTAGGAGACTGAGGCATAAGGATTGCTTGAACCTGGCAGGTGGAGGTTGCAATGAGCTGAGATCACACCACTACACTCCAGCCTGGAGACTCTGTCTCAAGAAAACAAACAAAAAACCTCAATGAAATAAAATCATAGAGGGAGAAAAGAGAAGGTGTTTCTCCTGTCTTCTGGTCACCTGTAATTCTTTTCTCCTAGACCAACTGTGCACCTGTCACCTTAATGTTTATGAGTCTATGTCTGGATACTTGGAAAACAAATCCAACTTCTTTTCTAGGTTTTCACAGCTTTGAAGAAGCTCCATCCTATGTCCTGAGCCTCATTCCCTACATCTTCTAATCTCCTTCTCTTTGTTCGCTTCCTTGAGCCATAGTAGCCTCGTTTTGTTTATTGAATGCAATATGTCAGCCCCAGAGCCTTTTCCCAACTGTTCTTGGTCTGCAGTTCTCTCCCTTTGATGCATCTGCAGATTTTTCCTTCCCATTCTTCAGATCCGGGCTTAGAAGTCACTTTCTCTGAGAGGCATTGCTGTGGGGCAATATTCAAAATTGTCCACCTTCTTCATCACATTACTTCACTTTCTTGTTCTCTTAATATCAACCTCCGAAATTATCTTTTGACATGTGTGTTTAATTCATTTTCACTTTTGTTCCTCTTGCTCCAGAGGGCAATCTCAGAGAGTATTTTGTTCATCACTCTGTCCCTGGTACCTCCGACAATGCCTTTCAAATAGGATATGCTCAAGTAATATATACACAATGAATTGATATATGAGATGCACCTTTATTTGCTTGTGGTTTCTTTTCCTTGAATTCAGAATCCACCGTGAGCCTGATATCTACATTTTCAATGGTAGTGCTGCTTTTTGCTGTATTTCTATAAATTCAAATACCTACATATCTATAGCAATGCCGATACACATATTGATATTTTATCTATTATTATATTAGGGGGTTTACCCTCTTAGAGCTAGCTTT